TCCATGGAATGGGAAGGCAACCGGCAACTAGCGCCTCTAGCTATAATCGCGAATATGCTAAAGTGAAAAATCTCTTCATAGTCCATTAAAGCTGGAGTTTTCAAACACCACAGTAGGTGGTAACTGTAAATGAAGTACCTACATTTGGTTTTCACATTCATAAAGTCGCAAAAATTTTAAGCAATTGTTATATCATATTTTAGGTCAAATTTTTACGTAGCTGATAGTTAGCTAACTTTTGTATAGGTTGGTATTTTATAGAATTTGGTAATTTGGGTTTGTTTGACTCTACAGTACAGCTCGCGAGCTCTCAAATCTCAGTGGGTGGCACCTTCGGAGCTGTTCCTGATAGGTCATACGGCTTTCGCCATGCTATCATGATTCCAAAAAGATTAATGGAAGACTTGGGGTGCTGCACTGCTGCAAACGGCAATCGAACCCAAGCCCATGGGACAAATGCCTTTGCTCTTGCCGTTGTTTGATAAAACTAGGCACGGCGGTTATCAACAGGTGAACCGACGACATGGAGACATGGAGGAGAAGATGCGTCCCGCTCTCTTGAAACTCTTCGTTTTGAGGCTAGTAATCCTACTATCATCACTGACCATGTTTGATGGCCTACTCACTCCTCCCTCTTGTGACCCAGTTCCTAAACAGACGTGAACACCAAATTAAGTGCGATTCCTACGAGGGGTCAATGTTTTTGCGGTCAAATATACTATCAGATCTATACGGATTGGAGGAATGGGGCCATTGGTTCAGGTGCGCCGTGATAGCTGGCCCAGACGTCAATTAATATCGCTGCAGACGAAGCCTGCAAAGGTAAGCTTTGCATCTGCTTGAGTTTGTGGAGGCACCAATCTGTCAACAACTGTTTTACCTCTACGCTCTCGCTCCCTCACTGTGCTAGCAACTTCAGCTTTTCGATGAACTTGATGTCGGCCAAATGATTAGGCGACATTATTGATGCTCGCCCTTTTTATCAATGACGTAGTTACCATGGCATTTGCTATTAATAAATACATTCGTGAATTGCTCCTATTTGGGTTGACTGACTTTATCAAATTATATCCCACCTGAGGACGGGAATCAGCCGCGGATGCACAGGCGCACTGCTGCCGTTCGAGGATGCATTGCACTCTCGGTACACGTGGCTATGCTAATGCACTTGCTGAGTTCGTATACAAAAATAGCGTAGTGAGAAGGCGAAGTGGGTGGCGCGCTCCGCAAACTGGTCGCTCCGCAGTTGGGGGTATGACAACACCTTGTGAGAAGGAGATACTTCTGATGACTAGATGGCAGGTAGGTGGTGGCTTCAAAGCCTTAGAGAACAGAACGTAGACCGCTTTCCAGTGGGTGTGTGGTCTCCAAGTGCGTGTGTTTGGGGATTCCGGGCATAAAGTTCATGCAAGGCCAAAGATAATCTTAGAGTCGTGCTTGAGTGGAAGAATAGTGCGAAACCTTCGACAATTATGGTAAACAAACGGCGTTGATTGAGTCGCACAAGCACCACTCTGATTCTAAGGCAGTGGCGAAATAAAACAAAGAAAACAGCTATTTTAGCTTAACGCTTTATTGTTAGGTTACAGCACAAACGGTCTAAAAATTAGATTTTTGACAACGGTGAAAAAAAATGGGGACGATGGCTTAAATCGTCTGGTGTACCAGACCACAATCAAGAAAGTCTAAACCCGATTTCTTTCATTAACAGTGTTGACTTTGAGTACGTTATTCACATCATATGGATTTTCAAACTTAAAAGCGAATGTTGGATGTCCTTTAATTTTAAGAATTAAATAGAAGGCTCACGTGTCAAGCACTAGGCATTTTTAATCTTTCCTTCATAAATTTGCAATTTATTTTAAATTCGTACTTTTCAGTCGACGTTATTTGGTCCTGCGAGCTATGTCTGGTGGCGGCGATCGTCTATTTGTATGCCATTGCAGTGTAGCTTTATTGTGCGATGGAGGCCATCCGTCAGACTATTACTCGGACAGCTCTTGGGCTAGCCGAGTATGTAACACCAGTCCTTAAAGAATCAAAGTTTCGAGAAACCGGTGTCATCACCCCTGCTGAGTTTGTAGCTGCTGGGGATTTTCTGGTTCACCACTGTCCAACATGGCAATGGTCCGGAGGCGAACCCAGCAAAGCTAGATCCTATTTGCCTGCGGATAAACAGTTTCTCTTTACCAAAGGAGTGCCCTGTTACAAGAGAGTCAGTCAGCTGTTCAATACTAGTGGAGATTCCGACAGAATTTTGGAAGAGCATGATGCTGAGGGTGGTTGGGTTGAGACTTGCTTCTTTGGTACTTAAGAAAGTTCTCCTTTGAAACTACTTGGGTCTTTATATCTTGCTTTAAGTTTGAGCATAATTCTAATTTTCAGGATCTGATCCTTCTGGTGTCGATAGTGAGTCGGAAACGGAAATTGCAGGGGAAATTGAACGCTCTGAAAAAACTAACGACGCTGAGGAGGATGAAGAAGAAGCAGAAGATCTGGATGCATACATACAAAGTGGAATGCTCGACGAGGTATGCTTTAAGATTAGTCGCGTAGTTGATAACTGCTTTTCGGCTGCTAATTTGAGATGTTTTACTTTTCGAAGGTTGATGCTCAAGCTGTTTCCGATAGGGTTCGTCGACCCTCGAAGTCTTTCGGTGGTAAAGATGATGCCTTCATGAGAAATGGAGTGCTTCAAACGCGGACATATGACCTCTATATCACTTATGATAAATACTATCAGACTGCTCGGTTTTGGCTTTGTGGGTACGATGAGAATCACAATCCATTGTCGGAGGCTCAAATGTATGAGGACTTCAGGTGAATCATGCCATTCTCCAACACAACCAAGTGTTGAAGACGCTCATTTTACACCTAAGATAGATCTTTTAGGTAGTAATATGTGTTCTTCAAATTATACTGTGCACTCCTTGGATTTCACGAGAACGGAGGTATGGTAGGCCCGCTTTTGTTTCATCTGATTCCCGTATAAATATTTACTTTGTCAAGTACAAGTCTAACATCCTTTTTGGTTTCCTGACTGTGAAGATTATTATTTCATCTATCTGCATGAATGGGGTGAATGTGATGCCCATTTCCTAATTCTTATCTCAACTGGCAAATTGCACTACTATGGGCCAGCATCTCCCCTCTCTCTGACCACCCTTAAGTATCTTTTCCAGTTTGCTTAGTCGCATATTTGCGCTGAAATAGCCCAAAACAGTCTTCTTTGGTAATGATTGGTCCATTGTGCACGAGTTTAAAATTATGTTCGCCTTTAATGTCTCTTAGTTTTCACTGTTTTTGAACGCTGCTTGATTGTTCCTGCCCACAAACTGGAAGCCATTTGTGATTTTTTGCACCGGCTCATCTTTAATGGTATTTTAGATCTAATAATTACACCTTTTTAAGAATCGTAAGTGGTATCGGATACCCTAAAATCGCATCGCTACCTTTCTTCCTCACTAGTTTGATTTAAAGGGAGCTCCATAAAGTAGCTAAACAGTGTTTTCAAAGCTTGACATTTTATGGTAATCCGTATCCGCATAGCTTGACTCCTTACTCGATACCAAAATTAGCCTATGCAATGATTAATTTGGAAGTTTGAAGACGGGTAAACCGTTTCATCGGTAAGGTCCATGTAGTGTAAACATGACAGTGGTTAGTGGACTGTCAAGATCTAAGTATTCATCTTATTAATACACAATGGGCTTGTTTACTTGGCGTGTGAATCTTGGTGACCCTTACTTCTTCCGTTATATCCCCAGCCAAGATCACGCAAAAAAGACAATAACAACAGAATCACATCCACACCTTTCGGGAGCTCCAATGCCTTCTATCCATCCCTGTCGTCAGGCGGAGGTGATGAAAAAGCTGATGGAGATGATCGATTCCTCCAACCATATCCCTTCCGTTGCTAATTCTGTTCCTACTGGGGGTGGAGAAGCTCCAGGACGTCAGTTGGGCGTGCACCAGTACCTGGTTGTCTTCCTTAAGTTTGTTCAGACTGTCATTCCCACCATTGAGTACGACTTTACCCGCAACTTCAAGATCTCCTGAATGCGCTCACTCGTCCGATTACAAATGCCTAAATCCTCCTATTCACAAGTCCCTTTCTCATAACGCGACACACACATCTTTGCTGTTATTTTTTCGACCAGAAATAGATGTTCTGTTTGATGTGACTCCGAAATTTTAATTGTTTTTCCGCGGTTCGGCAGAACCGACTTTATCTGTTTGATGTGGTTACTGCTTTAGTAATTCGAAGCCTACGATTTGGTTGTAATGCTCGAAATATTTGAGATCTCAGTTGGTACAGCAGAAACCGATGCTGATGTTACATAACCTTTATTTTCTTTGCATTTTTACTTCGTTTGTTCTCTCTGAGCAAACCAGTTAATCATGGAACCTCTGTTCTTAATATTTGTGTTCGTTTTACCACAGAGCTTGCTGTTAAACGTCATGACAAAGCAAATGGGTGGGAAAGCAGCTTCGGGAACCGAAATACCAATTTCCAAGTCCAAAATTGAGTCTGACTTGTCAGTCACGGTAAGTTGGGAAGATGAATACTCGCCAGTTCCTGTTCACTTTCTTCGGTACCTTTATTTTTGGATCCATTTGAGGCTGTCAATCGATTCCTCTTTTGGATGCGTAGCATGGGAATTTGGAGGCGCAAATAGCAAATAGCATTCAGGCACTTAGCTATGCAATCATTATTAGCACAAAGCCTATAAAGTTTTATTTTTCCTGTCATCCGATTGCTTCTCTGACTGCGTCGATAGGTTGGCGTAAAGCTTTGGTTTTGATTGAAGGTGGTGCATTTTGTTTGCAAGATACACTATTGTGTCACGGAGTACCCTCATCACCCTTCCATATACCATACACACACATCTGTCTGTGGTCGTTCAAGTGACCTTTAAATAGGTTACTGTTGTTTCAAACCAGTAGGCGTTCTGATTTTACAATTAGTGAATGAGGTGAAAACTACTATGAAATTCTGACGCTTGTGTCATTCTCCTAGTATCTTGATGCAAACATAACTTTCTTCAAATGGAGTCGGTCCATCTCATGGTCGTAGCACATTGATGAGTGCTAATGCAAGCTTAAACTTCACTCTACTTTCGTCTACCCTACTGGGTTCTCCGATACAATGCATTTAAGCCCGCGCTCGTGGTTTCTGGCGTTTATGTCGTTATATTCATAGGCACCTCAACATTGTGATTCATGAGAGGTACTAAAATAACCGATTTTCATGAGAATATTTTGAAACCAATACGGGAATGTGCTAAATTTTTAGTTTGATTTGTAACACCACTGCGGAAGGTAAATAAATAAATAAAAGTATAAGCACCATTAAATTAGATAAGTTTCTATTGGAAGCTACTGGATATTGCTACTGCTTTTCTTCACCAGTTCATGTGGTCCTAACGAAAGTGTCTGTTTCTTGGACACAAACTACGGATAGCATAGTTTCCCATACGTAGAGTCCAGAAGCTAATCGTAGGCCAGTCGAGTCATCAACCTTTTCTAAGATTCCCTCATTCCACTACTCATTCGAAAGTATGATAGAAAACGGCACTCAGCTTTTCCTTTTCAATTTTCCTCAAAGCACTAGCTCACTCGTTTTTTTGGCGTTCGAGAATTGCAAATTGGACCCGAATCAAAGATAGTGTCATTTAACCCTATGGGTCTCAATAAATTGCATCCGATACTGGTTGTAAATCATAAGGCCTCTAAAACTGCTACATTATGAGATTCCAAGGTCAACACAAAGCTTTTGAGTTCATAGCAGAAAGAACCATATTATTGCATTTCCGTACCGTTCGTGTTGTCCGGAGGGTATCGTTGACCAATCGCTGGATGCCCTCCTGGAAGGTCTCACGATGCCCAGCGAACTTTTTAAAGCTGAAAATGTTCAGCAATAATTGGCTTGAGTTCATCGTTCCCCAGCATGATCTTTTCTGCGCATCCCAACAAATTATCCGTTGATAAGGTGTCGAGTTTGTGCAAGCCTGTATGCTGGCTGTTGAAGTTGTGTGTGTGAACCATTCTTACCGTTGCATCGTACCATACGTGACGTTTTCTGTGGGTTTGAGATTTACTTTGTACTTTATAAAAGCACTAGTTCAATGCTACTCACTGCATGTAAAATTTGGTCGCTATTTAAATCGAACGTTTTTCAATATAATGTATAACAATACGATCTCATGTTGTTAATGCGGTAGGCGCATTTCCTTAGGGTATAATATGTTTGATATTCCCAAGGGTAAAATCACATGCATTTCAGCGTCAGTGATTAAGTTTTCCTCTCACCTCTGTTGACGTCTTCAATCCGTGCGCAGTGTCATGTGTAAACAAATCTCTGTCTGTGACTGCGCGTCATTTCATTCCGCGTCTCTAGGCTTTTCTCATCAGAAAACTATCATCTACAATGTCCTTTTATGCGTGTAAAGATCTATTCACTCTTTTGAAAGTTATATACTCGTGAAGAACAAATTCCAGAGTTCAAAAGCTGTGGTTTCTGTGCGTTTCTTTGCCTATGTTTACACACTTTATTGAAATTTATTTCCGAGAAGAAAGCTTTAACTTAGACTAAATTTCAGTCGCAATTCTTGTGCGCTTCTCCTCTCCTGTCAATAATTTTTCTCACATTCGATGTAAGCCAACGTTTTGGCATCGCAAATGGTCGTGAGTGGTTGTGTTTACGCAGATTTGTCACATGTCAGAATATGCGTCGATTACCTGAAATCGGGAACTTTCAGGCAGAAACTATTCAAGGATGACTGCCTCAGTTCTGATGCTATTCTGATCAAAATCATTGGCATAAACACGACTGCTTTGAAAGCATTCACACATCTCCATGTGACTTCGTGTTCTGTCGTCCCATTGTGGTTGAAGCTGTTCGTATGCGTCGGTATTCGTGAAATAGCGTTTCATATCCTTGTTCGTTTGCGCTTATTGTTGGGGCTGGCCCAACCTGAAATGCATTGGCTGTTCGCCTGTAGGAGAGTACTTCTATCTCTTTTTATTCTCTGGAGTATCATCGCAATCGTCTAATGTCCACAATGTTGATTCTATTTGAACGCTTGTTCTACTTTGCGTAAAGTCAAAATGAAGTAGTTTTTTTTCGCTTGTTGATCTGTTTCTATTATGTTAACGTGCTGATTAACAAACAGCCTCCACCACTAAATTTTGTACATAGATGGTTTCTTGATTTTAGCAGTGTGATGAGCCTACTAACGCTTCGACAAGTGTAGCAATCATGCCTTGCGCTAGAAAATCCATTATATCAAGCACCTCGCCGTCAAACCTTTCGATGGAGAAACGGAAAAAGAAGCAAGTCTGTCGAAAGTCAACAGCTCTTTCTCAATCCATTTCCTCGGCTGAGGTCAGCCGGCTTAAATTCCTCAATCCAGGAAAGCAGAACGAGGACCTCACACTAAGTTGGGATTGCGGAAGTATCACACGTGGTTTCAAACGCCAGCATACACTGCACATCCAAGGGATTGGTGTTGCGTAAGAACTCCTTTTGAAATTCAAACCTCCCTCAATAGTCAGGCGTCTGCCTCTGCAACTGCGGAATTGGATCGTCTGCGATTTATAAATCCGGGACGTCAGAATACCGACCTAAAACCCATTAATTGGACGCAGGAGGGGGTCTACATGACTCGGGGTCACCGAAGGCAGATGGAACTTCATGCAAAGCTCTGCGAGGCCAACAGGTTGACGTTTTCACCCCTATTTGAATCATAAAGGCTTTTTCGGTACCTTTGTTATTTACCTTAATCTTTGAACAGCTCTGACCCACCGCTCTACGACTCTCGAGGACTACTACTGTCGAATATGCAGGATAGATGTGATTGCATGCGTCTGGATTGTCCTGGATGCTTCCTGCCTTGTCGACGTTGCCATACTACCAAGTGTGGCCCACTCTGCCGAATTATGCGTAATTTTCATTATGAAAAGGTGGGTTCTGGTTCTTTCCGATGACAATTTAATGAATAGTGTATTTTTGCATCAGTGGCATATCTTGTGGATGTAAAGCGGCGTTTAAATCCTTCACTTGAATGTAGTTTGTGTGTTTCGATCCGGTTTTGACTATGTTTATTTTTAATCAAACCACCAATAAACGTGTTATAAGGTCCTGATATGCACAGCCTATATTGAGACCACAACAAAGAAAATTGATACATATGCGGTTAGTTTCATCAGCTTTTAGTAGTTGTCCTGCCGAACTTGGAAAAACACTGGCCCGTTTAAGTATCTCAGTTTTATAAACTGTTCACTAAACGCATCATTTCTATTATTGTTTCCGAACAGTGATCAAAAGCTTTTGGTCTATGTGCCCGATTAATGCAAAACTCTGGTACTTACCGTTCCCATTCAAAGGCTTTCCTGTTTCAGGCAGAATTGTACATTTGAAATCCGCTACCGACTGAGCGGTTGGGAACTGCAAAGCAATTCACCGTCTTGCTTTGTAAATGTTTGTATATAGAAAAGTACATACTTTTCTCAATGATGCAAGAATTGTTATTGCGTATCATGATTGAGATAAAACCCAGCAGCCATTTAGGAGTATCTGGTACTGATCAGGTGCACAAAGTAAATAGTTTTTCGGCGTCCCGTTTTCTTTTCATTATGAATGATTGTGACCATCATCGCTTCAATTTGTCATTCTCTTACTGATGGTGCATGTGGGTTGTTGATATATTTTTTATGCGAGGCGCCATTGGGGCTGAATTCAAAATGACAGCCACAAAGTTGGTTAGAAATCCAACATCAACGTTTGCGTGTCTGTATAGCTCCACTTTTAGCACTTCGGCTAGTTTACTTGAGCGTTATAATCCATTTTATACGAGCAACAAGGAGAGGGGGCAGCTTCTCAAAACACGAACTTGGGTTCATCATTTGTGAATTCTTTAAGTGCATTGGATGAGCACAGAGTGTTTATTGTTCAGTTAATTCCTAGTTAAGGCACTGATACACTGTACGTCGGTAGCACGCTGAGTATTGCCTCATTTCACTTGCAGTGAAGCTATCGGAGCTTACCTTTTCTACTAATGATTTACTGAGTTTATGTGGCACGAAAGTACCACTCACAGCATAGTTTTTCTGCTCTCATTCTGCATTCTGCGATGAAGCATCCTCAATTGCATAGCCGGTATTAGTACAGTTTTATTATGCGTTGTTGATGTCATCTAATCTGAAGAATCCTGATTTCTGTGTGCAGAAATAATAGCCGATTCTTATTTATAGCCTCAAGCGTGTGTTTCAGAGGTACTCCAGCCTTGAATTATGGCTCGATTTTCCTTGGTAGTGCTGCCGGATTGGTGCTTGTTGATGGCAATAGGCCTAAATCTCAGGCATCTGCCTCCACAAGGTCTTAGCTGGCATGCTTTAGTCTGAAAACGAAGGAATCAGGTGCAGTCTGAAGCGCTTCCGCTCCAAGAACGTATGTACGGCTGTCTTTGATTCTTCTTCACGAGTCATTGACCACTCTCACCTGAAAAGATACGGTCGAGTCAGCATGTATTACACCTCCTTATCATTAAAATTATCATTTTAGCCTGAATTTTTCTGTATAATCAGGAGCCATTTAGTGGCCTCAACCTTCTTTGTTCAGGTGCATAGGCCTTTGGCCTTGACCTTGGCTTCCTCATCCATGCCGCCGATAGCATTACTTCCTTTGTGTACTATCTCAGGTACTGACTAATGTACAGGTATACAAACAACTCCGAGTATTGCAAATGTGGGGTTCGTATGATACACACATATGATATGTTAATTAAAGCTTTGTAAAGGTTGGTCCCTATTGCTTTAATTTCTTGTCTAGATTTTGTTTATTTGATGAGGAAGCATTTTGCGGCTTGGCCTCTACTCACCTCGATTTGGCTGCTCCCTAGGCCATGCAAGTAGACCTAGCTCTGCTGAGAAGTGAAATGCACTTAGTATGCCTGAGGACTGTTTTAAACTGCCTTCAATGATGTCTGGGGCGCTACACTGGTGGCCCTTAAGATCAAACACATTCTCCAAAATCATCTATCTTGTTGGGCGGTAAACGTATCGGGGCAAATGAGGTGAACTTACCTTAGTAAGTATCCTAGATTCGTGGTGAGTGGAAAACGCATTATTGGCGGGAGAGGCGTTCGTCTGGAAGTATTTGAAACAGTGCCTGTACGTAGCTATCAATCGCGTGAACTTTCGCGATTAATTTCACTGCTCCTACTACTTGGGTAAGAATTTGGCAGAAAAGAAGACGCAGTGGTAAACCAAAATTGATTTGTATTTTTAGCATGATACCAAGGCGAGCTCACCTCCTTAAGTCAATAATGAACGCCTATGTTGTCCCCACTAAAATCGGAATTGACAGTATGGCACATTTGATGGGATAGTACTATGGTGCAGACAAAGAGGAACTGATATACAATGCAAAACTTGCAATATCCAACCTCATCTTTTCTGGTTTAACTCAGGTCCTGAGTGGGTGTACTCATGATTCGATGTAAAATAGCGCAACGGGAGGTGTAGCGCCTTCCTCTCTGCCCTCTTGGTCCCTAACCCGTCTTCTGAGAAGACAGACAATTGGCCGATCTACCGTAAATTGCTATGTGGGTACAATCTTCAGCAGTTAATGTACAGCCAAGGTATGCAATCCGCTGATATATATACTAGATTGTTTAAGTGTACCTATGTAGGGAACAGAGAGGAAGCAATTCGGAACGCGGATCTCGAGCGTGAGGACCGTGAGGAATCTCTCTCCTGATGACATCGGCTATTCGGATCATCTATTCTCTATATTCCATTCTTCCTGTAACCAATGCCTAATAAATGAACCGCAACTAACCCTTTCTTGAAGTCTGTGGCTCAAGGGCATGAGAGTAGGCAGGCAGATCCTACAGGCTACCCCTTGCTACAAACCACAATTTAAACAAGTGCAATGCATAATCGCTAACACATTTCCTTATTCTGATATGTCAGTTCCTATAAAGACTAAAACCCCAGCCTTAGATAAATCGTTGGATTGGGTGGCTTAGGCAGTCAAGACTTATGCTTAGCTACTAGGCAGTTTCTATACGACTCTTATCACTTTAGGCTCGCTAAGTAAAGGAATAGCTGAACAATCAAACCAGTCCGCCTTGTGGTTTGAGAGTGTATTTTCGTCAAAAAGGGCTACCCCAAATCATTCGTCCCCTTCTATCTGATAAGCGCATATTATATCCAGGTGCTCTAGAATGATTCTTTCTAGGAGGTAGGTGCGCGTTGCTGATTATTATAAAGGCTTAATTTGATAACGGAGACAAGCTTTGGGCCAATCTGCAGTCTACATGCAGTCTATGCGCCAAAGATATTTTAAACCTCCGTGGTTATGCATTCGGCTATTCGAATGAAATACATACGCTGGCACCAATTCCATTTTTAATTCACCCTTATATTTGTATAGCGTAATACGGTCAAAAAGATTTGACTTTTGCTGTCTTGGATGCATCTCTCAATTATCTATTTAAATGGGTGGTTCAGGTTTTTCGCTGAGTGATGCTTATTTTAATAAGATATCAAATGGTGTCCTTAGAAGGCTAAGACAATGGAAGCGTGAAGCTTATTGGGTTTAGCGCTCCTACCCAATTAGTTCGCCGATGCATACCGTGGATATAGATAGGTGCGCCAGCCCGTTTTGTGTACGACTCTGGTGCTCGCTCGCATCGATAGCAGGTGTGTTTGCTTCCCTGTCTTTACCATTACTTCTCGTTAGTTCGATGCCATAATTAACAGTCAATATTTAATTGAGGAGGTTGCGAACTATTAAATACCGTTTCTGCGATTTGTCTAACAGCTCGCTGCAGAGAATAATAATTTCTTGATATGTTATTTATTCATTGACGCTTATTCATTGCTTTAATCGAGGAATGTCCTAATTGTTTACCTGCTGGCCGAAACTCTAAAATATTGAACCATGCCATTGTATAGGAATTTTTAGCTTCTTTTGATTTTTTGGGTTTCTCACTTTTCGCAAGCTTTCGAAGAACCCGATTATTGTCACTTAACTGGCGGGTATTGTCCTTGTACTTATTGCTACGGCACTCTGATAGTGTATGGCTTACCTTTCAGCTTATTTAGCAGTCTTCGTTTATTTCCAATCCATTTCAATCCACACATAAAGGAAACAATTTCTACCCCTCCTCTATTGAACTCCATCTAGTGGGATTTTTTAAGGTCCATTCTTTTTCACGACTGTCTTGTCTTGTCCATCACCATGCTTTAGAGGTATGCACGCGACTGATTTGTATGTCTTTGATCATATCTGCTGGATAAGATGCTTCATCATTGCTCGTCAGCTTTTTGTCTTTGCTTCAGGCCATAGCAGATCCATCTCGAAATTATGGCTCCTGTTAAGTATCTTGCTCCATTATGAGACTCACCATTTTTTGAATTGTTTATTTATAATTTTAAATATTTACTATTTAGTAGACATAGTCATGGATACTAATGCAATTGTGCGATTACTAGGCTATTTTCGATGCGGCAGTACTTAAAATTACTTGGTAATCCATTAAGTGAAGTTAAATGGACAGAAGTGAACTGCGTTATTTCGCCTATTGGAATTTTGTTTTTACTACGGGCCTAGTATCCATGTTAGCCAGTAATGCCATTCCCACAGACTTTCGGCCTCATTGGTGGACTGCAGTTTTACACTTGTGCCGCTTTGACCCTGTTCACAGACGCAAGATCTCAGCTACTCGCCCTTATTTTCCCTCCGCTCCCCTCAACTAATCCATTTTTTCATAACCTGCTCTACGCCGTCTCTCTCTAATCCAGTGTGCGTGGGAAAGTACAAACCAGCCTCATAAACTTCTCTATACTCTCTATCATTGTGGGAGAGGCACTTTTCTGCCTCTTCATGCAGCTACAGTAATAACAGTGGTGGTGATTAATAGTTTCACATAAAGCTGACCCTTGGAGATCACAAATTTCAGCGAATCATAGTCTTGGTGTTCCCTCAAAAGAACTGTATAAAAATGCATATTTTAAGCCTTCGTGGTGGAACATTTCTGGTTATACCGCCGAAATTCTCGGCTACCGGTCCAACGTTGTCAGGATTAGCAATATCAATCGTGCTTTGTGCTACTATATAGGCAAAGAAAAGGGAGAATTGTATGTTGTACACCAAAAACCAATCTTCATTGGCCTCCCCGGCCACAGTCGTAAGCACAGCAACGGCGGCCGCGTCGGCTGGTGGTGGTGGAAGCATTGTCGTCCGTAGTGGATCCATTGTGAACCCGAACACTCTTCCAGACCACCACCAGCAGCCTGTCCCAACGTTTGAAAACTCCTCTCCTCCACAGCAGCAGCCGTCGCAACAACAACATCCCCCTGCCAAAATGGTCAACCGTCTCAAGTCGCTGGTGAGTAAGAAAAAAAAGCGTTTTCAAGCGGATGGTTTCGACTTGGACCTCAGTTACATCTCCCCACGCATTATTGCCATGGGCTTTCCTGCGGAGCGCATTGAGGGTCTTTATCGCAACCATATCGATGAAGTCTCTCGATTCTTTGAGATGAGGCATAAAGGCCACTACAAGATTTACCACTTGTAAGTCCCTCTGTCACGGGGTAAATATTTGTTCTTACCGTAAGTATAACATTTTAATTCCCAGATTTCTGTCAAAGACTCGACAACTTGACATTTTTTGTGTTGATGTGCCTATTCCTAGGAAAGTCCGAGTCAATTGAAGAATCTTTTCTTTCGATAGTTCATTGGCCATCCCTTAGTTCCACATCCTTTCTATCAGGTGCAACGAAAGGGATTTCAATGAATATCGTTTCTCGGGGCCAGTTGTACGCTATCCCTTCTCCGACCACAATGCTCCCCAGTTTGAACAAATTCTTGCTCTCTGCCAGGACGTCATGGCGTTCTTGAAACAACATCCCGAGAACGTGGTGGCTATCAACTGCAAGGCTGGCAAGGTTAGCTAATGCATCAGGTCTATTTTCCCAAAGATTGAGCCAACGAAGTGAATCATCACTACCACTACCACGTAATCAAACAGCTATTGTTAAGTACGATTACCAGTGTTGGTGTGTGTGCCATTTTGCACTAATGCGAAACGGCATGTATAATGTGCACATTTGGAATAAACATCATTACTGGTCTTACTCCAGAAAACTCAAAATGTGCATGTATTGCACACAATTGCCATGTTCCCGTCGGGTTGGTGATGTGCTGCTTCCATCTTTACTTTCCTCGAACAGTTTGCTTCTTGATGCCATTCTTATTATTCTTCACACCTTTGGTGTCTCAAAAATATTCTTTTTTGCATCCTTTTCGTCATAGCCGCGCTGTTATTCGCACCAAGTATATGCGTTTTTGCTCCTGTGTCCTCAAACTGTGCCTATGCGTAAAAGCTACATTTTAGTTATTAGAATTGTCGCCAATATACTCATGGTTACCTACAGCATGGAAAGCGATACTAGCCATTAAAACGTTTTCCTGGACTCGCGCTTTTGCGCAGTGCCAAAAATATTTGTGAAAGCCGAATGCGCTTCACCTTTTGAGACAGCAAGACGTGGTGCTTCAAGCCTATTCTGAGTGCAAAGTTCGTTAGAGTACCCTCTTGCCAATCTTCTGCATAAGCAGGAATGAGGTCTTGTTAATCGCGTAGTTGTGATTGCGGTTGGAATCAAAGTAGTGGGACTGACTACAATCTGTGTCACTGAAGTATTTGTGCGACCTTATCTTCAAGCCGCTGTTTGTACGGAGATTTCTAAGTTATTTTTACTTGATCAACGCAGACAGTGCAAAATTCATGTGTGCCTGAAAGTGTGTGTATGTGTTTGAATTGCAAGCTAGTGACCTTCGCGGCCTACATGCAAGACCAAGAGAGGGAGTGAAGGCGCGAGCCAGTGGGTGAACGTCAGTTTGTACTTTTAATTTCCAGTGCATGCGCACGTGTGTGCGCACGTTCCCACTGCGCCTTGGCGATTGGACCAGTGCGAGGCGTGCTCGCACATATCGACCGTCCAAGCTATTACGCGCGTCCGTCTGCGTGAGGTTACGCAGCCGTGTCGGCGTCGCGTATACACACGTGCGAGCTGCTGCAAGGGTGGGAGGGATCGGCGGTGGTGGCCATGCGCCGGTCAGTACCACTGCAGTGTGCGTGTGTATGTGCCGTTTGTTCTTATATTCTCTCGGTCTCTTAATCGATGCTCTCTTGCCATCACTCTTCCTCGCCTTCGTATTCTGCGCGCACAACTGCGTCTGTTGCGTACGTTGGTGTGCGCGTCGTCTAGTCGCAGAAATGCATGCAGTCCACCAAGTTGACAAGCCAAAGGTTCCCATCCTCCCCATATGCGAGCGCGCGCAACTGGACGCACGCCCTATAGCTCCCTCTCTCTACGCTCCACTCATGATGGTAAAAGTGCATATACAAAGAGCGAGAGGGCTGCCGACGCACTAAGTTACGCTTTCATATGGGTGTATATTCGTTAAGCCAATTGGTGGAACTATGAAAGTGTTCGATACCTGTGCGCACAAAACGTTGACTAATTTGACTTCTGGCATGTCTGCTGGAAAACCAAGCTCTCACTTCTACATAGTATAAGGATAATTTTATCCCAGAAGTGCAATCCTTACTGCTGTTTGTCTGATTGGTCTCCGAATGTTCGCCAAGCATACCCATTCTGAGGCTTGTTTTTTGGAAGCTCCCATTTATCCTTCGAATGAGGCGTTTGTTTTTTTTTGTATCAGCTGAGATGAATACTACCTTATGAACGGCTGAAGTGTGGTTCTCGATACTCTTTTTACAAGAAAGAGTTGAAATTTTTACCACCCTTTTACCTTACTTTGCTTCACTTATCAGCTTCAAAAGTTTTAAGAATACTTTTTTGCCGAAGTAAATGATTTAGCTTCAATGCTTGTTTACGAAATTATTTATGAATCGCGAATCTGCCCTCCATTGTAAGCTAAAATGTACTTTAGCCTCTCCCGCATGTGATGCTAACGCGCTGAAAAAAATGGCGTGATCTTGTTGTGCCATAACCTCCAATTATCTGCCTCAGATACGACTTGGAGCACCCGTACTTTTACAGCATTAGCTCAGCGGGCATTGACGTGGACAGGACATAAGTGATGAATGCTATACGACACCTACAATGATTCCAAAGTGGGTGTTCCTCCTGTGACAGTTTCCAGGGTTATGTTCTTGGGTGTGGATTCCTGCTGTGGGTTTCAGCAGCTGTCTTGGTGTTATGATAGGCATTCATCAGATGCGAAAAACGACAGTATCACTTACCTTTCCTTTTTAGGGTCGTACAGGTGTGATGGTGTGTGCATGCCTGATGGAACTGCAAGAGGCAAGGAATGCTGAGGAAGCACTAAGGCTGTACGCAGAGAAACGGACACGCAACGGTCAGGGTGTGACCATCCCTAGTCAGCGACGCTATGTTCAGTATTACAGCCGTCTCTTCTCCTCTGCCCTTACCTATGAACCCACGCCTCTTCGCCTAACCACAATTCGCGTTGAGGGCCTTCCGCATCATCTCCATGGTGTACAGAGTAAGCCAGGCCCTTGCCCATGCCGTTGGTATTGTGCATTGTGTAATTGTTTTACTGTACTTTATTCTCTTCCTGTGCAGATTTCGAATTGAGTATTTCGACCTACGAGAATCGGTTGTCGATCAACCACAACCACGTTTTCACTTCAGCAGAGGAGGTCTCGCATTCTCAGGGTAACTCGGTCACCTCTATCACTGCCACTGCATCCGCCATCCCTCCTGTTACGGTTGCCAGTACCACTATTGTTGGTGCAGCAGATAATAGTCCCGACTTTGACTGCCATCGTCATTCGGACGTGACTACGTACCAAATTCCCTGCTCTACGCACCACAGTGACAACGGTAGCTACCTCATTCGTCTTGACGAGCCAGTAACTGTGTTCGAGGACTTCAGGATAAAGATCAAAGCAAAGAGCGGTGTGCTCACCAAGAAGATTGGTCAATGTTGGCTAAACACCTTTTTCATACTCCTGAATGATCCTGCCACTACTCCTACTGCTTCCTCTACTAGCATATCTCCCAATGCTGTCACACCCATCGGTTGTTGCTCCGCTTCTGACTCGAACTCCGGTTCTGGGTCTTCCTCGGAGTCTTCTGCTTCAACGGCCTCTTCCACCTCCTCGTCAGTTCGGAATTCTCCTCCTCGTTTCACTGAAGTGAATGAGGAGCTGGAGGATGGGGAGGAGGAAGATGATGAGGAAGAAGAGCTCCCAACTCTCACTTCGAATTCCACACTCCTTCATTCAACATCTCCCTCTCCTCCTCCTCTCTCTTTGACCATTCATCCTAGTCCCACAGATTCCGTGGTAATGTTGCGTCGCAGTTCAAATCCCTTCCGTTTTGCTACTCCAAAGGGCGGTGTCTCTATGCCATCTGTCTCCATTCCAAAGAAAGATAATGGACCTTCATCCTGTACTAGTTTCACCAAAAAGGTTAGTTCCTAATTGACAGCTCACATAAACCCATGGTGAACAGATTGGCTATTACTTCGTTTCTTTCAGAGTTCTCCTAACACAAATCTCTTGTTCTCTTCCTCCATGTCTACTCAACTGGCTACTCCGTTAGCGGTACGGGTTCTCGAATTGTCTCAATCCGAACTCGATGCCGCAGCCAAGGGCAGAGGCAAGAAGGGGGAAGAGTTTAGGGTACGTTATAGACTATGTGAGCCTTCTTCCAAACATCTATACCACTTTTTTTCTGTCCTCTTCTGGAAGACTGAGTGGATTTATTTGCTTTTATGTCGCAGGTCCTGTTTGAGTTCATTCGTGAAACACCCTGCTCTCAATCTGCTTCGGCTTGCAGCAGCGTGAATTTTCCGAATCCATCTACCTCCTGTTCTTCTCAGAGGCCAGTGGCAATGGATCTGGAGGGTGTGGAAGAAGTGGTAGAAGCGGAAGAGCAGATTGGAAGCACCACCTCACTTTCCGCTACATATTTCCAGGATCACCACCATTCCTTCCATTCCCCTGCAGAATCTACGACAAATCATACTGGTGCTCTGGTCTCGTGAAACAGCGGTTGTACTCTCCTGTTCTCGTTCCTTTTTTTGTCTCTTTCTCCCTCTCTTTATTCACCGCTGTCTGTACATATAGGAAATGAAAAGAGAAGGGAGAGGAGAAGTAAAAAGATGGTGATATGTGGGTCTTTCAGTCCCATCACCCTGTTCTTGCCTTCTTTCATATCATTTCTTTTCCTCATCTATCTCTCTGACTCTTTCACGTTTCTTGCTCCAGTTGTAAATATTTGATCGTCTTGTGTCTTCTCTTTGGTCTGTCTAAACCAAAGCCACTCTCCAAAGACACCCAAACTATCGCATCTCCATGCTGGTATGTATTTCCCCTTTTCCTTATGCTCACCTTATGCTACCCTTTTCATCTCTTCCTTGATTACACTTACAATATGTGTTCAATGTGACCTATTATTGTGTGAGAATTAGGATGAGTGTGCAACGTATTACATTTCATTTTCTGTGCTTTTTTCAACATTGATTTTGAGTGGTGGGATGAACTTGGTCGACTTTCGGCGGTGTTATTTTTCAAGTTTGATGCCTCACACTTCCTTAACGCGCTCCTTTTCCTATGTCATTTGGATGAGAGTGGCATCACACGAATTCGTGAACGGTGATAAACTTGGCTTTACTTCGATTCTTCGTTTTGTAGCCCGGGCTCTGCGGCTTATATTCATGAATTAGTTGATTAATTACATCACTGCTTGGCTCTTGGGATGAGTAGCACATTCAGGAGTAGAGCGTGGTATACCTGGGATGTTTTCGCAAACCATTTGAATTGGTTGCTAACCTGTCCAGTGAAACATCCCTTCTCAACGTTCGCCATTCATAATCAGTCAAAGCAGTTCTGCCCACTTTCCGAATAAATTCTAAGGGGGTCTTTCATTTTCCACTTCATGGCCTTGGGGTGTGTCGGACTCTTCATTGATCATAGATTTAAACAAAGTTGGGAGAGGGCAACGCAAATCTCTATAGTATGACGACTTTTAAGAGTGAAAAGTCATAAACTGATTTTTAAAGAGCTAGGCCTTTGGAAATTCGTTTGCATTGCAATGTATTTGGCACTCTCCTATTTACCGGCCTCTATCTTGCAGCCGAAAGCTCCGTCCGTCTCTTGTCACCCCTCGACAACCACCCTCCAAGTTGTGTCACACATCGGGTTGCGTTTAAAAATTGTTCGCTAAGATGAATCACGGTTTCTTACATACCATAGGCACATCATACGGAAATTGATGGTACTGGGGCAAAATGAACAATATGTCTACCACAATCTACTTTTCCCAATACTTTAGTCGGAGATTTAACAGGAATTGAGAAGATTTAGCTTTGAAATGATGAAATCTTAGTTAAATGGATGTGCTTTAAGTGTCAGTTTCTGCTAACGTATTTCTCTAACAGGTGTACTAAATTTAATCTCTTTGTTCTACCATTTTTTGGTATCACCAATCCGATATTTCCGTCTAGTGAGCCAATAAAAGGGGGTTCACTAGCAGTAGAACTGATTTAGCTTGCCATTAAGATCGGTGGATCTTCGACGGAAGACATTGATTCGTTGTATTACTCTGAGACTGCTCATTCCTTAAACCGGACACAGCCATTCTTTCTGGGCTAGGTGGAGCTTTTTGTACGGTAGCACCTTCAATAATGCCGAAGCAGATATTAAACTCAATGAGAGCTAGATGGATAGGGAAAGGTCTATTTTACTGCTTAATTTTGCAATGCGTTGTTGCTAACTTGTAGCATAGCGCCGTAGGGATCAAATAAACTTTTGGTGGTATTTATACCCAAGCAGGAGCAGTTCTCACGGTTATGCGAACGCGGGTGATAGGAGGAAATGGGTCCAGCTAACACGCACTGTCAAATGCCACACAGCTGAAACAGAAAGTGGGACAGAAAAGTACCTTTCCGAGGTAGATTAGCATGCACTTAAGTGGCATAGTTTTGTGGTTTTAGATAGGATCTACAGACCTAACGCCCACCCATCAGCGGAGTTTAAATTTAGTACCTTATCCAAGACTGCAGACCAGTGCGGTTTCAAATCTTTTCAAACAATAAAATGTGCACTGATTCGCGGACTGAGACAAACCAAATAACATATATTTCCTCGGAAATTTAAACCATTAACTTATTATAATGTTGTAATATTACTGTGATGGGAACCCGAACAATGGCTTTAGGTTCCAGGCGTTGTCATGCCTCAAAAATAGAAATTTGGACAGCAAAGCATATTCCCATATGTTTCTTTAAATTCGAGACTAATCACATAGCGTTCCAACTTTGAGGCGACTCTGCGCATTTGTTTTAATAATGCGTGGTTGTGAATAGCGGATGCGGAAGGAGACACGCTGTTTGCCATCGTACACGATCGTGTCAGTGTTGATCGTATAGCGGGCAGTTTGTCACTGCAAAAAGTACACCAAATGGGGAACACTGCTCGGTTTAAAATCTGTTTTGCTTCACTATCATTTAGCTACTTTGGATTTGTCTACCGACCATAACTAAATAGCACCATTGTCGATTGTGCAAGTTAGGCTTCCTTTTTTCAATCCTCTTTCCTTCGCAATTTATGGTCTGAGGATAACCTCCTCTTATTGAATGACACGCAAAGTATTGATTAGAAAATGTCATTCACAATCTATTGCTTGCCGCCCCAACAGATACTATGCAAGTAAACGTTAGATAACGCAGCAGCCTTCCAGATGGGTTCTTCTCCTTCTTCAGAGCACTGAGAATAGCACTACCACTAACAGCCCCACCAATGCACTATAAAGTTGAGGCTTAGCGTTTGCGTATTCACGCATAAACGTGAGAGCAGTTCCTTTGAGTATGCAAAGCAATAACGTATTACCTGTAATAAGCCTCCCTCTCACCAATGAGGCATTTCAGATTTTTAAGTCAATGTTAGATTCAAACTCAGCAGTTGGAGTAGTATGTATTTTTTTATCTAATAACTCTTAGCTGACGAATCTCTTACTCTTCCTGAAATTGAGCGTCACTGTTTTTGAAGTTTCGCAATTCATAGCATGTAAAATAGTTGACGACATAAATAACTGTACGTCTTGGGCTTTACGCCTTTTGTTCGATGGTGTTGGGTTTCATTTTATCGCATCTACAAGTGTAGGTACCCTATTGACAGAGAGTGACACCATTGATCAGCGGATTAATGACTATGAAAGGTGTGTCAAACATGTAAATTTTTTTGTTTGCGCTAAAGTGCTTTTGTGAAGACCTTTGTTATAAGGGCATCGCCTCTTGTTGTCGTAAAAGTCGCGCTTTCAAATGACTGAGCAAGCTAGACATGGGTTACAGGCAGACCCATCCACGAGTACATGCAGGAACAGTTGGAGTTATGGGCCAGACTGTCTGTGCATAAGGTATTTTGAGCTTTAGTCATAAAAGGGATATAAAATCTCTTCGAAGCATACAAGGTTATGTTTTAACCAGGATTAATTAACATAACTCCACAGAACGGATTTCGCCTTTCCATTGTTAGGCAGGTGTGTGGAGTCTCTCGATGGTTTCGTCATAGTGTTTAGTAAACAGCACAACAACGGGATTTTATGTAGTTTGCGAAAATAAACCTGTCACGAGATCAATTTCTTACAGAGATGAATCGACGTTATGTGTGGTGACCTATTTGCTTAAAGAGGAGATAGAGGTAGTAAAGATAAATGGAATGGATCATCTTAAAATAATTTTGAAGGTAAAAAATAGCTCTGAGGATGGATACTTACACTCACCTTTTAAAAGGACGCGTAATGGAACATATAAAATTGGTAGAATCAAATTGTCCTACCTCAGGGCTAGAGCGTAAGTCTACCCTTCAAATTCTTTCTTGCTGGTGGTTCCAGTTTGTGCATTAAAGGTGTAATGCTTTAAAGAACATGAGGACAGTTAAAGATTCGAAAAATTAAAAGGAGGTACCGGAATGTGCTCTATGCTCTCAGTACATGCTCCTTTGGTATTGAAAAGAAATCCATTGTCCAACTTATAAAACTTCAACTAAAAAAATCACGAAGAGTTGTGTGTTTTCAGTAGGACAAATTATATGGCAGTGGAAAGTCAGCATCGAAACCAAATTTCGGTTACTTCGTTACATGAATCTTACTTCATTAAACCTTTTCTTGCCTTAGAAGCAAAAACCTAATCCAGATATCCCCGCCTGCTTGTGGTCCTTAACCATAAGGGGAATGAAGATAACTATATGAATAGTTGAATGAACTTGTTTATTTTTTGGGGGGGTAAAATCGTATTGTGTGCCTCTTGGCGTGCAGGTGGTTCCTAGAAAACAGGTTCTGGGAATGTAGCAATGCATCTACTGAAAGCATGGGATTGCTATGAATGGAGAGATTTCGTACAGCGATCGAAAATGTTTATTTGCTTCTACTAAACGCTAGATTTCGAAATCCACTTCTTCTTATTATTACTTCAATCAGCAAACATTCCTTTCCCAAATGCCTGTTTTTTGGACCATTAAAGAAGTGCGAAACAAAATGATGGTCATTTAAGCATGTTGCCATTAATGTGCTTGGCCTCTAAGACTTCCACGAGTTGATGCAAATGTAAATGAATTGCATTAGCCGTTACGAGAAATATTGACGCGTTAAGTCCAGTTCTATGTAATGCTTGGTTGTAGTCAAGCTTTTTTGAAATCGTTACTATCTTTAGACAAGAACTTTGTTAATGATCATTAAACTCGACCATAGGAAAGCCTTTTGAATTCATATATTTTGGGAATGAACTTCCACAGTCAAATTGGGCAAACAAAAAGCCTGGCCTATCATTCATGAGCATCTCGAATCTGTCTAACCCTATCAGTAAAACTGCGTCTGTGCGCATTCCTTGTCTCAAGGTCATCCGTGCAACCGAGACGTCGCCTTCAACCAATAGAGAGACACACTTCCACATTATGCACATGCGCTTGTCAATACGTTTTATCAAAAAAGTTTTGCTGTACAAAAAGTTCTCTTAATAACATACATGTGATGTCGTAGCCAGACACA